ATAGTATTTAGATATTCAGCTATTTTGATGTTTTTTTAATGTTCTTTTGTATTTTATTTTAAAGTATCGAAATGAAGGATGACAGAAATAATTCTTATGCTTCAGCTATAGATGCTGCTGCACCTCAAGATCCGCAGATCGTTATGGCGGTTCTTTTCAGTCCCAACGAAGAAAAGTAAATATTAAATATTTCTAAATAATCACGACATTGTTGATATTATTTATTGATTTGCAGATATGCTGTAATTAAGAAAAAATGTTGCGTTGATAGAGTAGTTGCTTCATAAGTTGTGACTATGAAGGTTATTGCACCTCGTCCAGAAAAATTGGCTGGTCTGATGTCAATAGCAACGAAGGTTGTCATACAAATAAACGCTATATTGCGTGGAGTTCCATGGATGATTGATATGCCTAATCTTGGTATTATTACATGCGGTTTTGATATATATCATTCAACTAAAAATAAAAATAACTCATATGGCGCATTTGTTTCAACAATGGACATAAAGAAGTCATCAAGATATTATTAATTAGTCCAAGAACATGTAAAAGGCCAAGAATTATCAAATTATTTAACGCTAAGTGTAGCGAACGCTTTACGGGCATTTAAAGAGGAGCATCAATGCTTACCTGAACGTATAGTATTTTATCGTGCTGGAGTTGGTGATGGTCAGCTGCACCAAATTGTAAACCATGAAGTTAAAGCTCTAGTCAATAGATTAGACGAAACATATAGTAGCGTTGGAAGTGCATTTCCACGCTCTGCATTTATAGTTGCATCTAAAAGAATCAACACGCGATACTTTCTTAAAGGTCGCAATCCTCCACCTGGTACCGTTGTGAACGATATTATTACTTTACCAGAGCGTTATGACTTTTATTTAGTGTCGCAGTCTATATTCCAAGGTTCGGTTTCACCTACCAACTACAATGTTATACACGATACAACTGGATTTAAGCCAGAACATATTCAAATGCTAACTTATAAAATGACGCACATATATGGTATTATAATTGGGCTGGTATCTGCCGCGTACCAGCAGTGTGTCAATATGCTCATAAATTGGCATTCTTGGTAGGTGAGAACATCAACCGTGCTCCATCTACTGCACTCGAAAAGAATTTATATTTGTTGTAAGAAATATTTTTTCCTTATAATTATATTTAATTTTTATTTTATATTAGTTGACGGCGGTGGAGACGCTACAAATTCACTTTTTATTTAATTTGTTGCACACTGAGGTAACATAAGTGCTAAAATAATACCTCATACTTGAGTTTAATGAACAAACTTTTAGTAACTATTTGCTTTAATTTGAATATTTTTATATAAAAAACAAACGAAATATAAAAAATTTGAATTGAATTCAAAGAAAAACATTTAGATTCCATTTTTGTTTGGTGTACTTTACCTCACAACTCGAATGTTGTAGATATTTTTCCTATGAGGACATTCCAAATGTTCCTGAAATAATTTACCAAAATATGAATCTGTTTTTTTTGAATATTTTATAGAATAAGAATATTATAATAATATTATCGTATCCATTAAGTTTGTTTTTGCGAATTGATTTCCTTTTGAAAACTCATACACTTTTTTAATCTCGTTACATTTTATAAATTTTTTGAATAAGCTATTAACGAACATATAATCTAGAGTTTTTTTTTTTTGATCTTTTAGAATCCTTTCTGGTATCATCATTTAATATAAACTAAATATTGAAGAACTAATTATTCATTAATACAAACTTTAGTATTTAAATTTATAATTTTCCCTCTGATAGCACGATGCTTGTGTGCTGGAAACTATAGCGCATTGGGCTTTTAAATTTTAATGTTTTTAAATTTATATATCGTCTACAAATACTCCTAAAAATGCACGGCAAAGAGTTATGGGTTCAAGGGTAAAGAGGACCGGCAATAAAGCTTTATAAATTCCTTAGATTCGTAAAAATGTCTACTACAAATCTGCATATAGTAAAGATTTGAAGTAGACATTTTTGTCCGGAACCTTTAGGTCTATATGAAGTTTCTAACTAGTCAGATAAACCTATGCAAGGTTAGGTTATACTGGCGATCCCTAGTGGATCCACTTACGCCTATTGGCCCATTGTATTACCGTATATATAAGAAAAACTCATGATTTAAGACCACCTAGAATCTTTGGCGAAGCATAAAATGCTATTTAACCAAACTGAGATTAAAATTTTATAAACTAAATAACATATTATATTTAATTATACATTAATTTTAATATTAATAAAATTTACGTTAATTTTTATTTTATACAACAAATACTTTTATAAGAAACTCATTTGTCGTTCATTCAATGTTACAACAGGCATAAAGCGCGCCCATAAACCAGCGCCCTGTCCTGGTTTTACATATGGAAAAGTATGGTAGTGATGATCGACATGGTCCAAGTTGAAACTTAAATACTTATTATAATTGAAATCTTAATCACATTGTCAGTGAAGTGAAACTGTCCTAACTCTTCCCAGTTAAAATTTGTGATAGAGAAGCGACCTGAACTTGTTTGAAAGAGTGAACTGTACCTGGTCGGCTGTGAAAATGGATTGGCTACAGCAACAATGAAATGAAAAAGGGTAGATAGAGAAAGGGTATTTGTTTCGAAATGATGTAAGTGAAGAGGATTAGTTCTACGAATCTTACTTTGAAAAAATTAAAAATATCAATTTTATTGAATCTTCTAAAAATCAACTTAGAACTAACAATAAATTATCGCTGCTAATTACTGTATTAGAAGAGAAAATAGATAATTAATTGTCCTTATCCAAAGCTTCGTCCAATTTCGTTTCCATGTCGGACATTATTCTTTAATAGCCGGGTTTATGTAGTTCCTTTTGAGTCGCTGGGTTCCAGTGCTTTGAGTAAGATTGCTTGCAAGTGGGTTTTGGTGGTTCCTGAGTTTGATTTTGTACTTCTGTGTGTGGCTGACTACTTCATAAAATTTTATTTAATAGTAAGTTATACATAAGGAAATAAGATTCTGTAGTAAGGCTAATTGAGAATTGTTATCTAATTGCCTGTTTCATAATTAAAAGTACTTGCATAATATTAAATATAAAAAGCAAACTAAAATATTTATTACAGCAACATAAATCTATTTCACTATTAGGTTTAACTCAATTTTTTAAAAATGTCACACCTTCGTACAAATCTTCGATCGTGAGCCATCGTATGAGAAGAGCTTCTTGCCGCCTCATGAGTTGTGAGCAGAATGAGCCGAAAAGAGATCTTTGACTTAATATCTATATTTAAAAAATAACTAAACAAATTTTTTAAGTCTTTTGTTTAACCCTGCTATACTCTGAGTATACCCCAGCTTTGGAAAGAGCCGGCAAAGGTTATTACAAAATATCAAATTTACATTTTAATTCATCCTTTTATTTTGGTCTTAATAAAATAAGCAGTCTCAGAAAATAATCAAAATTGACTGCAATAAAAGGTAGTAGCGATCATAAAAAATATGAAAACCGTACAGACAATGTTCGCACCAACTCACTTACAGTTATAGGTCAAAGATCTAAACAAGCAGTTACTAAACGGGCATCAAGTGTAAATTATTGGATCAGGAACTTGGCACCAACTAATTCATACACAGAATTTCGTTTAAATTTATACTTGTTATGAGTAATATAATATTTTATTTTCCTTAAAATTTTTTTTTTATTTTTTAAATGATAGAAAAATTATAGATTTCAATTTTCTTGTATAACTTGTAAGAATTGTTTTTTAATAAAGTTTTATAATTAATGTGCTTAGTTTTATGATTTCATTTATACATTTGAGTTTTATTCAAATTGAAAACAAAAAATGCGTTTGTATTCTGTGAGAAGACCTTACTAAAATGATAACTAACTTTATAATTATTATTGTAAGTGAATAAGTGGATGAATTTAGTAATCTACAATAATAAAAAAATATTTTAATGGCAGCATTTTCAAATTCCCAAAAATGAGATATTATGCCGAAGCCGCATTCCATTGTTTATAAGTCGAGTGACTTATTTTGAATCGTTAGTATTATAAATATATGTCCCACCCTACACTCAATTCCATATTTTAGGTCTGAATAAAATAAACTATAATACACACATTTTAATCATTGGATTTATGAACATTCCAGAACAGAAGACAGCAACTTTTAAGTACAAAAGCCATATTATTAGCAAATGCTATTATTAGATGTAGAAAGGTTATACAACGAGCAGATATAGGTATAACTTAACATACTTGCATATAAGAGGTACAGCTAAACATATTTGCATACAAAATAGCAAAATATTATTTTAATAGTATATATAATACCACAAATTTTCAATCCAATTCAGGGTCTGAAATTAACTTTCTACCCATTTACAACAATAAATTCGGTTTCGGCTGATATAAAAATTAAAAAAGGTTTTTTATTTTTTCAAAATAAAATAAAATAAAAAAAACTCATAAGTTAGATACGTATCCAAAGTAACATAAATATATAAAAGTCTATTATAATTAATTGTCGTATAGGGGTTTTATATAATGAAGCCACATTAGTTTTATGTCGTTCTACAAATGAATTGACGGCTCAAAACAATTTCAACACTTCTGTGTGTGTTCTGTGATTAACACAATTTTGTCAATAAGTTATGGACAAGAATTGCTATATCCACATTATAAAATTATATTGTATTAAGGCTACCATATTTATTTTTATTATTGATAGATACGTAATGATTTTGTTGCTACGTTACACAGTTTATAAAGACATATCCAATAGAACTTTCTTCAGCAACATGGATTTAACCTACTGGAAACGAAATTATACTTCCTTTGAATTTTAAATCTAAAAAGCAAATTAAATCAGGTTTTCCTTGAGATTTAAAAAGTTTTGACTTAGCATATTTGACAACATTTTCTTCATAATTTTTCAGAAACAATTTTGTGTTTATCTATTCAAAATTCCCGGTCACTTCAAAACATGTTTCGAACTTTCTTCAACAAAATTTTTTAATATTTAGGGTATCAAGAAGTATATAAGGAAATAAAATATTTGGTAACGTGCCATTGACAAGGTGTACAAGAATATATAGAGTCCGAAGATAACATTCGGAATGCAACTATCACGTTTTCCTATATATAATAAATCGTAATTCACGCTTAACAACAATTTCTCGTTGGGACATAAACTTCTAATTGGGATTCAAAGTAAGTTTATCAGTTGTTTTAAGACTCCATTATTCAATGTGCTAAAGTCAAAGAACGAAAGTCGTAAAGTTCACTTTGAGATTTCATAACCTAAACGTTGACTCAAGCTCTTAGTGTATAAAAATTTATTATGCCTATATTATTCATACTAGGTTGTGAAAAAAGTATTCTGTAGACTACTACATATGTATATAAAATAACAATGATTGATTATTGTCACAGTAGTCTGTCTGCGCGATTGGAGCTGACCTTCGCGGTCACTGGCTTTGTTTTTTCTTTCTTTTCCTTTTTCCGCCGACAGGCTTTCATTTGAAAGCATATAGAGCACCAGGTTTAGGCGGCCTCAGCCAGTTTCGAGAGGTTGTTTCGACCTATGTGAAGAAAAAAATTCATCCGTAAAGAATTTAATTTTCCCTCTACCACCCATTTTTGAGAAACGTGCACGGATCCGCCATTTGGATACCCGCATTCTGGTGATTTTATATACACTTCAACGGAATTTATATAAAATATGCCTATTTCGAAATGTGGTTTTTATTCGCGCAGGAAGTTTTGTTGAGAGTAAGTTTTAATAATTTTTTATGACATCGTTCTTGTAGATCAGATATCAAACATGTAGTAAAACTGCATGACAGATACTGACAATTTTGCATAAATTACAAATGCTCAGTTAATGACTGTAAATGCTAATAAACTTATTTTAGAGAGTCTTGAGATAACGTCTTTCGAGAAAACGTTCAATAAACAAATAACATAATAATATGGAATATGTGAAATCAATGAAATAATTCTAAAAATTGAGTTTGTCTAGTAATATGCTAAAAATTTTTTTCTCCCTAATAAATTTTGCTTTAGAACACGAGTTTTGTAACAAGAATTGTTGGCCTGACGTATACTAGATATTTAATACATAATCATTTAATAAACAAGTGAAAATGAATAAAAGTTCGATATCTGGCAATGCCACTAAACCTGAAAGTATAACATTAAAATATAAAGGTGATGGAACGTCTGTGTCTCCTAAGGATAGAAAATATGGAGGAGATACAATATTTCAAAATAATGATTGCCCCTTAACAAGTGAACAATTCTTAAGAGCAAGACAGAAATTTGTTCTTCTTGAAAATGCAAATAGTACAAACGATAGGAATGCCTCAGCAGGAAAAGATGTTAATAAAAACAAAAACAGTTCCAAACCAGTTGAAGCAAATAGAAATCTTCCGAAGGAGTTTGCAGAGAAAAGTTACTCAACCATTAACACTGAACATGAAATCAACCCTCCATTTCAGCCTCTACTCTATGAGGGATCAGCCTCCACAGTCTCACCTGTAGAACTGAATCCAAATGAAAACCTTATCTATAAAACTGAAGCGCCAATGGTACTACCTAATGAAAAGCCATGCTTGAGTAAAGAATGTAGTGGTAAGTATTCTATTTAGGAACAAGAACGCATTTTTATACATATGTATTATGAAATCCATATTAAAATATGAATAATATGAATAATATTAAAAGTTTTGTTTGGAATAGGTACAACTGACCTTCAAAAAGAATTTGATTTTAAAACGATACGAAATAAATTTAAAAATTGGGCGGAGCCCAAAAACGATAACGTAAAGAGGTTAATAGCTAAACTCGAAAGAAAAACTAAGACTAGTGAACACGATGGAAGAGATCAAGTGAAAAAGAAGAAGGAATATGGCAAGATGATTTATGAGGAAAATAACACAAAAAATGATGAAGGCAATAACCATCGGACCAACCCGAAATAGTATCAAACTTGTGCCAAAAAACCAATGAAAAAAGTTGCTCAACTACTACTTCTTAATTTTGGACTCACTTAACAAATCATATCCAAATAATGTCATCAACTAACATTAGGTTAAATTCTCATACCCGGATAATAATGACTAATTAATATTTACTAAGTAAATGTATGAATACCATAGTATACAAAAGTCATCTTGAAAACCTTAACACCCAAAACCCACATCCCAAACCCCAAACCTTAAACACCATTCAACTTTTATCTTAATAAATAAACACATGCATGAATTACGAACCAACAAGAGCTTTTATTTTATTTACCAGCAAAAGTGGATATCACTCGTTTTATTCAAAATAATAGGATAGTAATAGGGTAATAAATAAAAGAAACTCATTACAGAAGTAATAACTTAGTGTTTCCCAGCTATAGAATTGGTTAGAACGTGGAGTGTCTCACAAGCTTGTCATCTGACAAACAAGTAAAAGATTGCCTAATATGACTAATCGTTCAAAAGTTACTGCTCTTGAAGGTCAATTTGCGATCAATCGATCACAAGTTACTGTTCTTTAAACGTCGAAATAAAACTCGATGAATACTCTTTGTCCACGCATCAGCCCACATGCATCAGTGGGAACACGTACGTGAAAATCTACTTCTTCTGCGAATATTCTGTTACTCACATCAATATGCGGTGCGTAAATTAAAATCATTCATTATTAATTAATTTTTATTTCACAATTTTGAATTTTTAATTCAATTAAACTATACTTGGACAGAAAAAATATTTCTAGATATTAGTAATTGAGATCAGTTGCAGGTTGGTGCTAAAATAGCACTGGACAAGACAGGAAAAAGACTCGAATATTTTACAGAATAATTGTAATATCAAATTCTTTAAAAGTCCTCTATACGTACAGACGTGTTTTATAGTGCTCTTACAAAGTTTTACTAGTTAGCTGGTGTTTAGCGCGATAACTACATACAAAGTTCTAGATCAAAGAAGTGTTTGAGTGTTAAATCGCATTATATATGCAAAAACTATTGAAATAGGAAATAAATGATCAAATCAACGAAGTCCATTAGCAACACGAAGCCAAAAACAGCTAAAGACCAAAAACAACTGAAACTCATTTGAAGAAACTTACGACACTTGTTTACACCAAAAACTAGTGAACAATGTTGGAGTGAACAATGTCATACCCCACTGATAAGCTCACCTCATACGCTCACGCTGGGACTCACCCCAACAAATCTAACAGCGCATTCCTGCTCAACTTCAACAAGTACTACAAATAGCGTCACAGTAAGCACTCCAAACTCGATAACTAACACCTTGAGTTCTATATCAATTCAGATATCCGTTTTTTCTACTCATGCCTTACCTTTACATCCAACAATCCCGGTAAGTTCGATCGCTATTATATCAAATATTATACTGAACGAAATCTTCAGGCTTTCAGCTTTCAACACTCAAAGGACGACAGATTCACTTTTTTCCATTTTTGTAAAAATTCACGATGTTGTCTGCTTTGAACGGCTATCAAACACCAACTGAACGACGTAGCTCGCTCAAAATTAGAAAGTTGCCCACTGGTAGATTACAGCTGACAGCAGCACTATTGCATTTGGAGTAACTGCGCGGGAAATTCAAAAAGTCACTGATTTATCACACCGCCCTCGTATTTTATTAATTTTCTTGATGTGATTTTTTATTAAATGAAATTTCTAATGATATGTTTTCAATGAATTAAAATTGAGAAAAGATATACCATGCTATTTCTTAAGAAAAAGTTGTTCACAAGTAACACGTATTTCATGAAAACACCATAAAAAAACGCTATCAAGTAAATTCACTAAATCAATTAAAATTATTTTGAATTGCAATTGATTTATAACAATTGAATTTGTTTGGCGTTATTTTTTAAAAATGTGCGTTATTGAAAATAAAGATATTAATTGAAAGTTTCCAAATTCAGTTATACTGTCGACCATATGTATATGTATATGGATATAAAATTCTGTGTAAGTTAACACCCTGTATTACTATAACGGCACTTTGCCTGTATACACAATTCTATTGCGCATTAAAATATCTCACAACGCCTACTCGCGTTTGTGTATTTAATTTCAATCGGGCTTAATTCATAGACTTGTCAGACATATCCATAGTGCGATAGATGGTAAAAAATATTGCACTGCGGCATTTATAGATATTTCACAAGCTTTTGATCGAGTATGGCATGAGGGCCTCCTGTTCAAACTAAAACTGTATCTACCTCTAAATTTTTTCATATTTATAAAATCATACCTCTCGGCTAGGCACTTTTTCATTAAGCATGGAAACGAAACTACAGTACTTCATGATATAGAAGCAGGAGTACCTCAAGGTAGCATAATGGGACCAATGCTTTATCTTTTATTTACTGCGGATCTTCCCCTTACCGATGAGAGTGTTATCGGTACATTTGCAGACGACACAGCTATTTTATCAGTTGACAGTGACCCAATCCGTGCTTCCACCAAACTTCAAACCTGCCTTGATAATGTTGCTCTCTGGATGATAAACTGGCGTATTAAACCGAATGAATCAAAATCTGTCCAGGTAACATTCACTACAAAACGTTCTACGTGTCCGCCGGTCTTAATAAACAATACTCAATTACCACAAGCTGTAGAAACAAAATACTTGGGCATACATCTGGATAGTAAGCTAACCTGGAAATCGCACATATTCAAAAAGCGTAAAGCCTTGGGTCTTAAATTACGAAACTTATTTTGGTTCCTCAGCCGAAATTCCAAACTGTCACTCGACAATAAGCTGCTTATATACAAATCTGTACTTAAACCTATATGGAGTTATGGGGCCCAATTATGGGGTACTGCAGCAGACTCAAACCTGGCAATTATACAGCGCTTCCAATCTAAAACACTACGAATGATCACAAACGCACCTTGGTATATAACGAATGAACAGCTACATAAACAATTACATGTTCGAACAATCAAGGAAGAAATAGCAAGTATTTTAAAGAATTACGCTCAACGCTTATATATGCACCCAAACCCTCTGGTTACTCAACTGATGTCCCCTTCCAATACCTTTACAAGGCTGAGAAGAAAAACATCGCGAGACATTTTAAATATGTATATGTAGACAATATACTTTTATTTTAAATATATATGGATATGTCACTGGGCATAGTCCATACGTGCCTTTCTTTTTATATCGTAATAACCATTATTACGATTTAAATTTATATATATTACTTATTGTCATTCATTCCTGACAGATTGTAATAAATAAATGGATTTCAAAAAAAAAAAAAAAAAATCGGGCTTAATGCCTGTACTTCTTATGGCAACTTTCATACTGCAAGTATCTTGCAGAAAACATATCAAGTATCATTTGAAATACTTGATCGATGAGATGTCCAAATACTATTGGATATTAATCTCTGGCCAGTCATCTGGCTATTGACGTCAAAGCTAAAGACGCTTGAGAGGCGCTGTAGAAAATAGAAGCTCCAATCCTATAGGATGGAGACAAGAAGCTTCTAGAATATTCTGATAAATTTTAGAAGCCATAATTCGATTGATCAACTCAATCCTGGAATTTTCATTAACGACTTTGGGCATCAGAAGGAAAACTTCTAAGAGTCAGTCGTTAGGAAAAGCTGGAAGAAGACAAGTCGCTGCTCGGAATAAAATATAATACGTCTTTGGTAGTTGCTTGAAAGATGAAGTCCTCGTCTAAAAAGTTGTCGGAATAAATTTAAACAACAGTTTGTTGGTATCGATAGTTTACCATCTTTAACTAAGTCGACGCTAATCATTCGATGCTGTCATAGCTTTCTTTCACACTGAAGCGAAGAGATCATCACTTCAGGCAATTTCGAAGATTTGGTTAAGGCGAGTTAAAATCATAAATATTAATTTTTTTGCGCAGATATACATTAACTATATCGCAATCTATCATTTGCGGTTAAGTGCTTAAAGAAGTTCAAATTAAGTTCGTTTAAGTGGTACTTGTGAATAAAAATGTAAGTCTTTTTTGGTTCTACAATTATTGTGAAATGAACAGAATTTTTAAAAACTGAATTGTGCTATTTGGAAAATTATTTCTTAAATGAAATTAATTATTGCCTAAAATTTTGCTAATATTTTGCTAATTGTGCAATAACCAATAATTGTGCAATGCTAATTGTGCATTATAACATGTTCTATTTTTTTTGTTGTTTTTGCTGAGCGTCGTTTCGGTTAATAGTAAACTTTGTGGTCTGTCCTTTTTTCCACGTAAGGAACAGTGGCACAAAAAAGAATAAAAAGGAATAAAAAAGCAACAGTTCGAAGCAACTGGTAGTAGGAATGAATGATTCACTTTAATGGTAATTTATTTAATGGTTTTTGTTGTTGTTTAATGGTCTAATATGCAACTTATATGCAATCTTCATTCCATATTCGCATATACAAGTGTATATGTATGTGTGTACAGTTGTGTATACACATTTTTTTTCTTAGCACTTGGCACTTAGAATGTCGAACAATTGTCAAAATGTGCTGCCATCGGCGACGCAATAAGTGGAAGCCGCTTTGCTTTACGAAGAATTAAAATTCCAATAAATTTTGGAGTTGTTTTTGCACAAATGCATGTGAAAATAATTAAAAACATAATTTCATTTTAAAGTTTTAATACATCTTTAGAATGCAACGCGGAAGAGGTGCGGAATATAGAGGTGGTGGAGGAGAACGTGGAAGAAGTTCTGAAAATAGAGGAGGAGACAGAGGTAGACGTGGCGGCTACAATGGTGGTGGTGGCGGCGGCGGCGGCGGCTATCGTGGCAACCGCGGTGATGGTGATGGTGGTGGCATCCGTGGCTGGCAACCTCGCGGCGGCGGTGGTGGCCAACGTGGTGAACAACGGGGTGGTGCAGAGCGTAGACCTGGCATGTATCGTGGTCGCGGTGATGGACTTGGCAGTTATCCTGCCTCTGAATCATCTGTAAATAAGATCAAATTTAAGATTTAAAGAGACTTGATTTAATTAATTTTTATTCATTTGATATTAGAGTTTTGGTAGTTTGCCGTCAACAGCAAGTTGTGGACGTTCTCATCAGTCTGATGTGTCCATTTCCAGTGTTTTCATGAGTATGCCATAAAATATATTATTTAACCAGGCTTATGTTGACGTAAATATTTTCCTTTAGTTCTCCCAGTGGTTCTCCCAGTTCAAACGTTCACCAAAGTCATGATAACACTGAGGCAGCAACTATTGGTATGCAGATTATGACAATAA